AGGAAAAAATTGCAATAATTCAGGAGAAAGATACTGGTAGCTTAGATGGAACTGTAACAGTAAAGTAACGGGTGAAAAATGATGGCTGGATTCTCGCTGTGCTGATGGAGCAGAGAGTTAGTGTAAGAGAAAGAGGAGAGGGACTGAAGGAACAGTTTTATGAGAACAAAGAAGAGGAAGAAAGAGGAAGGAAGTAGGTGGATATCTAGAAACGGGCATGCACAAAGGGGCTAAGACTATCCTTAGGCTTCCTCTGGAGAAATTCCCTGGAGGTCAAGCAAAGAACTCCAGGATTTGATTGCCTGAGGAGCCAGCCTGTGATTCTTGGTTCCGAAATAAAACTTGAAAATGAATTTATGCTGGCTGCATTTCTTGACTGTTAAAATCTTCTCACCCCAAAGTGAAGTTTAGTTGTACGGCCAACCCACTGTGAGTGAGTCAGACTGGCAGCCTCAGTTGGGAAGTTGGATGGAAGAGGAAGTGGAAGGAAGTGTCATGATGGTCTGAGAAGGAGAAAGTCTCACATTCTTTTGTCCCTGATAATAGTGATCCTGAGAGATTAAGTCATGGCTTACAGGGCATGAATGAGATCGCGTGTAGAATAGACGTCATTTTCCCCCAAACCCAAATTTCACCATACAAAGGGTAGGTATATTGTTTGCATTTGAGTGCTTTATTATATTGGAATTGCAGTGATATTAACATTTGTACAAATGCACAAAATCTTGTCTCTTCTTGCTAAAAAGAGATGTAAAAATCTGACCTAGTTGAACAGTCTTAATGAACTCATTGTCCATTGGTAACAATAATGTGTTCACTATGCAACAAAAAGCTTAACATAAAATTAAACATATTAAATGCTGCAGCAAATATTTACAGTTATGTACCCCAAAATTGTTTTCTCCTTCCAGTAAGGAAGGTGGTTGCTTTACAAATAGACAAACGAACACAAATGCTTTGCTGTTTACAATTACAAACAACCCCCCAGTCTAGAACTTAAAGTGACAGCACCTTTTTTTGGGGGGACTTCCTTAGTTAACACTTAGTTTGTACAATGCTAAACTTTTCTCTTTTAATTCTATTTTTGCACAATATCTATATTCCAATTGCCCTGGAATATTGTGTTTGAACCAAGCCATTTTTTTTTTCTGGGCTTTTCCAGAAGATCCCAAACCCCATGTCCTCCCCAAGGAGAACATTTCAAAGCTTATTTTTTCTTCCAGACAAGCCTCAAAGGCAGAAGCCCTCTCTCTGTGAGGCAGGTGTGATTTAGCAGAACGTAGAAGGAAAGAGGGTAGGTAGGTAGGTCCTTTTTTTTTTTTTTTTTTTACTGGCCGGCTGGCAAGGGTCCTTTCTCTGAATGCCCTCCACTTCAGCACTGGGATACCTTTCTTGACCTCCTAAGTGTCCAGAGCACTGGCATTCTAAAGGAGCGCACCAGCCTGGGGAGCTTAGTGTGATATGACTTTAATGATGCACTTAAAGCTACTTCATTCAGGCTCCACATTCTCTGTCCTGAGGCTACTATAACTCTGTAAAAACAAACGTTCTATAAAGTTCTATAATATGAAACTCAATGCAAGAAATTCTCAAATGGCTTAAGAAGAGCTTTCTAAATCCTGACTACTACTGAGTTAGATACTGTAGGTTGGTCTACATTGAACGGCTGATAATGATTGGTTCCCTCTGATGATAAGCTTGGAAAGGTATCAGAGTGCCACGGAAGAATATTCATCTTGAAACGAATGCTGGCAATTTGGCCTTACCCCCCCTCTTCAATGTGTGGTTAAATAGTTTTTATTTAAAAATAGACAATTTATAAGGAAAAAATATATAAACACTCTTTAAGCAATTTGGCTATAAGCATTACATCACTGAGAAACTCCACAAGAAATAGTAAAATATTTTGAATGGACATACACTTTTTTATTTTCACAACACGATGAGCGAAGGTTTATTTTTTCTTTTCTTTGTTTTGGTATTGGAGTTTACTTGTAAGTTTATTGCTTCAGTGTCTTCTTGTCCTTTCTTAGATTACAATTGTAAAATAAAGGCGCTGTCCCTAATTTTGTTACAAGGCAACGTTGCATTTTTGAGACCTAGGAATGGACTAGAAAGGACCACTGCTATTTCAGCAGCCTCAGAGAGACCATGGCTAGGACAACAGTCCATTGTGCACCATGATGCGCACAACAACAGTCTCCTGCTCGTTCAGGACACTTTGGTTCGGAGGATAAGACAGAAAATTCTTAAGTGTAGCTTAGCTGCTGCCTCACATCTGTTGCATAATATAACACTTTACAAAAACATGCTGTGAATAAAGGTAGAGTATAAACTGGCTCTTCTCCTGCGCATTCTCGTAGCAGGCTTCATCTAGGCGATGTGAGCAGCACATCTTCGCTAGGCTACTTAGGACCACACACACATGTACCTGGTGCAAATATTACGTAAAGTATGTTAAATGATGCAGCTCAGAGCCTGGGAGGAAGGGGTGGGGTTCAGTGAAGAGGGAAGAGGGAAGGCAAGCTTGAGGACAAGGTGGAGGTTCAAGAGAGAACAAGAGAAAGGGATCAGAAAAGCTAAAGTGCAACTTTAAAATATAAATTATTTTAAGCAGAAGAGAGGTTCTAAATTGCTACTGTTCGCATAGGCACAGTTTTATTCAAATTTAAATGGGTTGTTTCCTTTTCCTTCTCACATAGACTGCATAATGGCGTTGAGTGGCTTAAAGCTACTGCATTGTTTGAGAAGGGACACAAAGAGCACTGAGAGAGCTGAATAGTGCAAAGCACTCTGGGAAATTGGGGTGGGGTGGAGAGATGCAGAGATGAAGTTGTTTTTACACTTTTACAAGAAAGTGTTCCAGTTGTAGTTACTGATTCCCTTTAGCTGAACTGTGCTCCCTAAAGAGGAGAGCTTACTTTACACATGCACAAAGGGATAAATGTTTTTTTTTTTTTTTAAAAAAGCTGTTCAGAACACAGATTAAAAAAATAACTCACAGAGCAATAATAATCCTTGATATTTCTATGCAAAGAGGTCCAAGCAAACATTTCCACCAAATGATGGAGCGCAGCCATTGAAACCCTGAAAAATGAGGCTACATACACTAGAGTAGTTTATTATGAGCTAATACTTTAAAAAACAAGTAGATCCTACAGAATACTGTTCAAATGGAATGTTTAAAAATAACATTTATTAATAAATATCTTATAAAATTCTAAATTAATAGATTCCTGTTCAAATTTTGCTTTGGTCCTTGACTTCCACTGTATACACACATACATACATATATATTTTCTTAGATGATCTTTATTAACCAGAAAGCACATTCTATTCTAACCAAATGGCTAGATTTATAGCTGTTACTGAAGCTTAACCTACCCCACCCCCAGCCCAGGGCTGGTCTTTCACTGCAGCTAGTTTAAAATTTCAAATGACGAATCAACAGACACACTCAAATGCGCCTCACTAACAGGCAACAACCACCTGAACATTCACTGTTGACGCCCCTCTATTGGGAGCTTGCTGCGTTTGACCGAATAGGCTCCAAAGAGCATTTGCCCCAAGTCAGTCACCCTCATGCTAACCACGCAGTGACAGCACATACCGGCTCCTACAAGCTGTGCTGAGATGGTGACTTAAGGACATTGACTTGGAGGTGGGAGCAGGGTGGGTGGGAGG